CAGAAGAAAAAGTTACAGGAGAGACTGAAAGTTTTCAGTCTGTCCAAAAACATATCTTTGGTTTTGATGAGATGCATAATTCCCCTTGTGTGCTACAATCCTTTCCTTCCTTTTGCTGTGCAGCCTTCGCTTAGGCTCTGTGCCGTCTGCTCCTCAGGGCTGCGCTGCCCTGTCCCCTCTCGCCCACCAGGACCCCTTTTCCCATTTCGCCTCCTCCGCTCTAACCAGCCTCCCAAAGCGGGATGCTGGCGCCGTGCCGCTCACGGCCGCGTTGCCTCCCTGGCTCCAAGCGTGCTGTCGCGCACAGTGAGAGGAGCAGTTTGAATTCTGCGAGGGCGCTAGTAAGAGATAAAACGTTTTGGTATAAACCTTTTGAAGTTACGTGTAGTCATCTGCCAGTGGAATTTAGCTCCTTGAGTTAATGGAAGAAAAAAGTAATCTTTTATCATGAGGATCATAGACGTTTGGGCATTTCCCAATGCCAGAAAACTGCTATGTGGTGTATTTGTGAGTAGCAGCAGAAGTTCTAGCTTACTAGTGCTCAGGGTGTACTACTACATATTTATTCCTAATTTGGGCTCTGTCTAGGAGAAATTATCCATGGGGAAGGTCAGCTTGATGAACAAGGCCAAAAATAAAAGCTGTGTGCCAGGGAGCTGCAGAGCTGCCTGGGAGAGGAGAGTTCATGTACTTGACCCAGACGGTGCAATACAGTCTTTAGGATCTGTCTTACCTCTTTATTTTTTTTTTTTCCCTCCATGTTGGAATCTGCTGATTCTTTTTATTAGTTTGTATTTAAAATTAGTTTGTCTTAAATTTGAGTTCTCTTTTCTTACTGTAAATTAAGGATAGTGGGAAAGCAGGACACTGGTGGTTGACTTCTGAATCCTCCTAAAGGCTGCTTACACTCGGACTGAATAAGAACGGGCAAGAATTACGATTTGTCTGGAGCAGTGAACCAGCGCTAGAAAAAAACCCACATGGCGATCTAGAAACTAACTTTGTTTGTTACTCTTGCTGCCAATTTTATTGTGTCATTTTTCCAAGGAGGAAACTGTCAGGGATCAGTTAACCAGTATTTCGGTGAGATGGAGGCCAGTTAGGGAAGCGCGCACGGGGGAGCGTTCCTGTAAGTCTGCCTGCGTTTGCTGTGTGTGTAGTCCGTGACAGCTTCTGTAAAAGAAGCAGGGTTTGATCATGTGATGTTGGTTCCAAGAGAAGAAATTCTTCTTAGAAGGAGAGGGACAAGCTTTGTGGAACAGCAGTGACAGGATGAGTAACAAGTGTTTATTTAGACAGCGTTTTTTTAGTATTCATTAAAACTAAGCGGTTAGCTGTGGGCTTCTAGAAGTGGTTTTCCTCTTACTGTATGGAAAAATATCTTTAGTGTAATGGGCAACAGTCAGTATGCATTTTTGTTGTTGTTGTTTTTTGTGACAGGCGAACGTAACACTAGGTTTGAGACATTTTCCTTTCAACATGCAGAACCAGAATCCCATAGCAGTTTTGCTGCAGTGACCAGTGTCAGTGCGATGTCTAAGTCCACTCACAGCACTTCATCACAGGTAAACCAAAAATGTATCAATGTCTTAACTGCAACATTAACAGGGAGTTGCCCAAATTAATAATCCAAAAATGCATGGCTTTGAATTATTGCTAAAGTACATTTTTACAGTGAATTAAGTGGCTTAGATAAAATAATTTATTCCAGATTAGATACGTGCTATTCCTAAAACAGATATTTGCGTGTAAAAGCATTCTGCAGATTCTAAACCTGAAGTGCAAGTTTAGTTTATTTGCATTAGGCCGCTAATAGTTTTTTTTTTTCCTTCAAATTTCATAGTCTTTAAGTCTCCTCTTAGCTATTTAGAACCTCTTGCACAGAACTACTGGCTAAAGCTCTGGTATACCAGATCGCTGAGGAGCAATAGAGCTCTGGTTCAATGAAGCCCATGCAGAAACATGCTTTGGTTTATTGCAGTTCATAAGGATTTCATCATCTTAATGCTCAGATTTCAGGCAGGCCTACAGTTCTGCAAAGCCTAATAGTACACTGGTGCTCTGTAAGTCCTCATGTTTCAATCCTGGAATGACTACTGGCTAGCTGAGTTTAAATCTGCATCCTCTAAGCAGTTTCGATAGCGCACACTTTTCTTATTTTCCCTTCCATGAGCAGACCAATGGAACTGGAATTCTTACCTGTATCATACTGAAGAACCACTTGGGTTACGGGTTGGTAGATGGGTCCTAGAAGGTCCTCCGTATAGACAGAACATTATGAAGAAGGTAGCATGAATGTAAAGTTCTCAAAAGTATTCAGAAGTAATTGTAACTAAAATCAGGGAGGGGAAACTCCCACTGCTTTCAGTAATAGTTATGCCAACATTGAGTAAATCAACACATCTTTAAAGTACCTCACCTTTCGGAAGTTCCACCTTTAAAGAAGTCATTCCGCTTCTAGCAAATCTGTTCACTTTACAGAATTTCTCCTTGTGCAGTTCTAATGGTTTTCAGCTAACGTGTGGTTCCTATGATTTGAGCTGATGAATCTCCTTGTATTAATATTTTACAGCATAACTCAAGGAGGAGGTTGAGAAGTGAGAGCTCCTACGACATAGACAACATTGTTATTCCAATGTCACTGGTGGCACCATCGAAGTTGGAGAAACTACAATACAAAGAAATCCTTACCCCAAGGTTTGTTCATGATCTCCTTGTTTACAAAATAGGTAGCCAAATGAACATGAGAACGTTAATTAAGAATAGGGTTAACGTGTAGTTAGATAATTTCATAATACTAAGATTTTTTTTTTTCCTGTGCACTTCAATTTGTGTATTGGGGTAGACGAAAGACTGGAGTGGTGGGAAGAATCGACAGCCGATTCTAGCACAAGGGAAATAATCCAGTATGCACAGAGCAGCAGCAGATGCACAGCTGACTAAAAATAGAAGTGTGTTTATATCTTTTTAATTCTAGTGATATTTGTGGGCTTACATGTGCTATTAGGCTGAATCTCTCTGAATGGTTATTTTGAGATTGCTGTCTTTTTGGTGCTTTATGGTTCAGAAGAAGGTAGTTAACTTTCTTCAGTGAATTGAATAGAAATTTTTTTGCCTTTTTTTTTTTTTTTATTAAGATTTATGCATTCTGATATTGTAGAATAAGCTTAACTTGTTCCATATGGTGTAAACCATAATTATTTTATTTGGAAGAATTTTTGAAGCACAAGCACTATTGAGGAAGGAGTGAGTGATGGTGTAGTGTTGAACAGACGAGTCATCTTTACTGTTGAAGTAATGAAACAGCATTTAGGTAAACTTGAGTTGACTTGCCTTGTCTCATTTCTAGCTGGAGAGTTGTTGAATTTCAACCTTTGGAAAGATCTCATACAGATGAAGAAGAGGTAGGCCGCATTTTAATTAAACTAACAATTTATAATGGTCATAACCAGTATATATTTCCAGAAGTCAGTGACTTCCTGAAAATACGGGTAAGTTTCAAGTTTCAAAAATAAAGTATTAAATATCAGATTTGTGGAAAATAGATCTTCTCGCAACCAACTTGACCCCGTTGGTAGGTGACATCAATGTGACTATTCATTAAGAATCAAAGATGCGGAGGAACTGTAACGCCAGACTGGCCTACAGGAGATGGCCTGTTCACTTGTTCGTTTGGCTCATCCATCCCTTGCTGTCGGCGCGGAGGCGCAGTCAGAGATCGCGTAGGGGCCCTTTGGTCAGAGCTCAGCGCTCCCGGCTCCAGCAGACTCTGATGCTGGGTCTCCCAGTATGACTCTCTCGGGGGTACCTGTGCTACAGTGGCTGTTTTTCTCTCACAATTTCTTTCACAGCCGGTTCCCATGGCCTGTTGCTCTTCAGGAGGTAATCTGGCACTTTGCCTGTGGGACCAGCAGGTTTTCTCAGTTTCTTCTCAATGTTCGGTGTCCTGCTGATGAGAGCAAACTTTTCTTCTTTCTGTTTTGTCAGGAACAGCGTAACCTTCAGCATTTCCCGCTTGCCTGTTGAGCTAAGTTTGCACATTGTGTGCTACTGTTGCTTTCTCCAGACATAAGAATCCACCTTTTTTTTTTTTCTTTTTTTCTTTTTTCATTCCTTCAGGGAACGTCCATGGACTTTCCAGTTGGGGGATTCCTCTCTTGCCTAATCAGGGGTCTGAGGCACTTCCTAAGCCAAGTGTGAACTTGCCAGTGGGTCTGTTCCCTAGTCTTGTTTTCTGTCCTTTCCATCTTCTTTTTTTTGTCGGGTCCTTTCCCAGTATCAAAAAAGAAACCTGCCAGTTTTGCTGTCCTTTGGCTCTCTCTGGTCTTCCTCCGGTTGCTGCATGGGCCACTACCAGCTGTTGCAGCTCTAGGACTTGTATTCGTGCCTTGATCCAGAATACCCTTCCTGAGCACTGCTTTCACAGAATCTCTGCAGCCAGGGTTTAGGTGCCTTAGTAGTAGGAAAAAAATTGCATTTATGTGAAAGTACAGAATATTGTGCCAAAAGCATAAAAATGAAATCATTATGTTGCCACTCTCTGGGGTAGAAAACACGCTCTTCGTGAACGACAGCTTCCTCA